TTTAAGGAAATGTCTAATAAGTCCAGATATAGCGGTGCCTCTACCTGAAATTAAAGTTGATGAGAAATTATGCTTTGAAGAAACTCCTGAACTCATTACTGACTTCAATGTAAAGAAATTACTGAATAAAGAGATTGGGTTAGTAAAAGTTCAGTGGCATTATCATAAAGGATCAGATGCCACCTGGGAATCCGAGTCGGAAATGCGAATGAAATATTTATAATTGTTTACTTAATGGAATTCCGGGACGGAATTCTTTGAAGGAGGGAGTATTGTAATGTTTGGTGCAATTATTTTGATATAAATTAGAAAGTGCTTACATATATCTATGTATGTATATATATATATATATACATATGGTTATGCAAGCATGGGTGGTGTGTGTGTGAGTGAGTAGTTTTTAGTAAAGTCAGCAATGCACTTCCTGTGTAAATCGCTCAACAGGATCAAAGAATAGAAGGCAATTTCAATAGCAAAAAGGAGAGTGTATTATGCTTTATGAAGTAGGTACATAATTCAATTGCTATTAGAATTTGATTATAATGAATTGTATTTCATATCAATTGATGTAATCCTAAACCGGTCAAGTATCAACCGATATAACCTTAAACCAGCTAAGTGTTATTCGATGTGGCCCTAAATCGCTCAATGTGTCACCCGGATTAGAGCTAAACCGCTCAATGTGTCACCCGGATCAGAGCTAAATCGTTCAAAGGCCACCTGGTTTAATTGCTAAATCGCTCAAGCATCATCCAGGTACTCCTCTAATTGGTTTCAAGTGTTAACCAGATTTCATATCCGGCTGAGTTGTCCCGATTACATATCCGGATAGGTTTGACCGGATTTCATATCCAGATAGGGTTGATCGGATTTCAAATCAGGTTGATTTTGACTAGATTCCATTATCAGTTCTGGCTTGATTTGAATTTCAGAGAAATAATGGCGATGTAACCGCGAGAAAGATATAATGGCGGTGTAACAGCGAGAAATAGAGGTAATGGCGGTATAACCACGAGAAAGAGAGGTAATGGCAGTGCAACCGCGAGAAAAATAGGTAATGACAGTATAACCACGAGAAAGAGAGGTAATGGCGGTATAACTACAAGTTTCCATAAGAGAATATAGATAAAATGCATATATTTGTACAGATCTGTTTTCAAACTTCTAGTTTGGAATAAAAGTTGTTTGTATGAGTTTTGTACACTCACTAGACCTTTTGTTCTAATGTACTGTTGTTGGACTAATCTGTTTTGCAGGTCACCATTCATCACAAGACAAAGGCAAGAGGAAAGTTTAAAACAATGTTATGTAGTTGTGTATTGTGTGTGTTAACAAAGTTTTTGTTAACCCATAATAACTCGTGTTATGTAAACAATATAACATTTTGGGTTATGGATATGATTATTGTAAATTATATGTTGGTAGAAATTGTGGCTTGTTACATTAATCTAATAAGTCATGAATCAGAGTGATTGAGGGTCCATTTGGTGTTAGTGGATATAATTGGCCTATTTCTCCCTAAGAAGTCCAATTGGGTCAACACGACTCAAACTAGGTCATAATTAGTCTTTTTAGACCCTAATGGGTATAATGGACCCAATTCTCCATACGGAGTCTTATTGGGTCAAAATGACACTAAATGGTCCATATTTGGTTTGTTCAGACCTTAATGGTTATCATAGGCTTATTTCTCCTATCCGAGTCTAATTGAGCCATAATGGTACTAAATGGTTCAAAATTAGTATAATTAGACATTTATGGGAATAATTGAGGCGGAATGGGTCTTGAAGGTCCTTAGTCAGTCGAAATGGGGGTAGTGGATATGATGGGCCTAATTCTCGTTAAAAAGTCCAACTGACTCAAAATCACACCAACTAGGTCATAAATAGTCTCATTAGACCCTGATGTGTTTAATGGGCCCCTTTCTTCGTAACAAGTCTAATTGGGTTAAAATGACACTAAATGGGTCATAGTTAGTCTAGCTAGTTGTTAATACGACTAGTTGATGTAGAATGTGTCTTAAGTGTCCTTAATGGGTCCATGTAAACTTATTCCGTATATTGGGCCTATTTAGTTATAATCGAGTCATTTGGAAGAAATTGACAATAAATGGATCATAATTAATCTTATTATACCCTAGTACGTTAATAGGCCCATTTATCCATAAGGATTCTAATTTGCTGAAAATGACACTAATTAGGTCATTTTTAGATTGATATGACCTTAATGGGGTATGATGTGCTAAATTCGTCAGAATTAGTCTAATCATACATTAATTCGAGTGATTGAGGGTCCATTTGGTGTTAGTGGATATAATTGACCTATTTCTTCTTAAGAAGTCCAATTGGGTCAACACGAGTCAAACTGGGTCATAATTTGTCTTTTTAGACCTTTATGGGTTAATGGGCCCAATTCTCCATATGGAGTCTTATTGGGTCAAAATGACACTAAATGGGCCATATTTGGTTTGTTTAGACCTTAATGGTTATCATGGGCTTATTTCTCCAATTCGAGTCGAATTGAGCTATAATGGTACTAAATGATTCAAAATTAGTATAATAAGACGTTAATGGGAGTAATTGAGGCGAAATGTGTCTTAACGGTCCTTAGTCGGTTCAAATGGTGGTAGTGGATATTATGGGTCTAATTCTAGTTAAAAAGTCCAATTGAGTCAAAATGACACCAGCTAGGTCATAAATAGTCTCATTAGACCCTGATGGGTTTAATGGGCCCCTTTCTTCGTAATGAGTCAAATTGGGTCAAAATGATACTAAATGGGTCATAGTTAGTCTAGCTAGATGTTAATACGACTAGTTGAGGTAGAATGTGTCTTAAGTGTCCTTAATGGGTCCATGTACACTTATTGGGTATATTGGGCCTATTTAGTTATAATCGAGTCTTTTGGAAGAAAATGACAATAATGGATCATAATTAATCTAATTAGACCCTAGTAGGTTAATAGGCCCATTTATTCATAAGGATTCTAATTTGCTCAAAATGACACTAATTAGGTCATTTTTAGTTTCATCAGACCTTAATGGGTATGATGTGCTACATTCGTCGGAATTAGTATAATCAGACATTAATTGGAGTGATTGAGGATCCATGTGGTGTTTTTTTAAAGGAAATTGAAACACAAAAGAAATACAAAGTTTAAGCGAACTACCCCACCCAAAAAAACTGAAACCCGAAAGACTTGGTCACCTTACCATACCAAGCTACAACGAGCCAAAAGGTACAAAGCCCAACAGACACAAACAAACTACAAAAAATAAACAAAAGGAGCTTAAACCTCATAAAATTCCCCCCAATCGAGACCCTATCCTTCATTACCATCATTCCGCTCAACCTGTCTCTCCAACCACGCCACACGAATGGAGATTTTGTTATTAATTTCTTTGATAAGTTGAACAATTGTGTGACGAGTCTCAGTAAAAAGCTTTTGGTTCCGTTCTTGCCAAATATAGTAAACAGAAGCCGCAAGTGCTAACTTATGTTTTGAACGTTCTGGGGATCGGCTCGAACCAGAAATAGCCTCCAGGATTTGATCCACAACATGTAAGATGCTATCCCAAACCTCTTTAGAAAAGGGACACTGAAAAAAAGGTGCCAATGGCTATCCATGCAATTTTTTACAGAGCGAGCATTCCAAGTCCGGAGGTTCATCCTTCCAAATCATATGGTCCTGAGCAGGAAGATGCTGATGACAAGCAAGCCAAAGAAAAAAAGCATGCTTAGGAATATGGCCTGAAAACCAGACCGATTTATACCAAGGTACAACCGGGTGGTACCCCTCCAACGAAGACCAAGTAGTACTAACCGTGAAATCCAATCCAAAGTTGTTAGTTCCCCACACAAAACTCTATCACAAACAAAATCTCTCAAAGATGGCTAAGGAGCATTATTAAGTTCAGCATACCTGTTACACCAACCAGCCAGCCACTCCCCATCCAAACTCATAATTAACTCCCGAACCGTAGTAACAGTTGAAAACTCACACGAATGGATGAATCTATAGAAGATGAAGGAAAAAAGATGACCACAAGCGAGCCAAGTATCCTCCCAAGCATTAGAGTCCCTTCCGTCACGAATCTGGGAGATCAGGAATCGTCGAAATTGATGTCGTAAGTACAAAAGCTTGCGTAAAACCCACGACTAATTAGAATTTTTCCAAACAATCCAGAAGTGTGAAGAGCGAATATTATTCTGATACACCCATTTAACCCACAATGAGTCATGATGTCGTACAATATCCCAGATATGTTTGGCAAGTAACGCCCTGTTCCAGGATGCCAAACGTCGAATACCAAGACCGCCACTCACAAGAGGTCGACATACCACGTGCTACGATAACCTACACCTACCTCTAGGGTCCTCCCTTGGAGCCCAAAGGAATTTCCTAATGATAGATTCAAGATCATGGATAAGCCCAAAAAGAAATATGAACATAGACATCCAAAATGAAGCTGTAAGGATTGAAGGACTGAGATAATAAATTGACTTCGCCCTCCAAAAGAAAGGAACTTACACTTCCAATTGAGAATGTGACCCTTAATCTTAGCACCCAAAGGGCCATAATCACATATCTTCAAACGGGTATGGGACAATAGGACTCCCAAGTACCTGATGGGAAAAGAACCAAGTTTGAAAGAAATACATTCAAGAAATGGCCTTCTTAATGTTTGGAGGAACATTCCCAAAGAAAATCTCACTTTTTTCAATACTTGGCGCCAACCCTGAGCGTTCCTAAAAGAGAAAGAGTGCCTTTTTCAGAACCTCTACCGATTCAACATCACCCTTAGTGAACACGAACAGGTCATCAGCAAAGCAAAGGTGCGTCAAATCCAACTCTTCACAACCCCTGTGATACCCAAAATCAGCAGCTTCCCGGACAGAATTTTAGCAACTCCAATCGATTAGGCGGTATTGTGCCGTAAGGAGCATGGAGAACCCCTCCATCATAATTGTAAATAGATATAGGGATAGCGGATATCCTTGCCTCAGTCCCCTTCCCCATGAAAAAACCCATAAGTATTACCATTAATCACAAGCCAATATAAAGTAGTAGACACCATCTCCCTTATCCACTTGACCATAACCGGATGGAAACCCATACCATGTAGCATAATATGCAGGAATCGCCAATCCACCGTATCATAAGATTTTTTGATGTCAATCTTCAACGTATATCTTGGTGGACCTGCCCTAGAATGGTAGCCTGATACTAGCTTGTGAGCCATATGAATGTTATCCGTAATCCTCCGACCCGTAATTAAAGCCGATTGAGCCCTATCAATTAAAGAATCCAAATAACCATTTATTCTGTTTATAATGACTTTACTTATGCATTTGTAAAGCACCGTACAACAAGCTATAGGTCGGTAATCCGAAACCTTAGAAACATTAACAGATTTAGGGATAAGACAAATAAGAGTATGATTCAATTCTTTCGGGAGGTTACCTCGATAGAAGAAGTTGTGAATAGCAATCTCCACATTGTGTCCAACGATATCCCATGAAGCTTTGAAACGACAAGACGAATATCCATCAGATCTTCAGGCTTTATGATTTCCAATACTGAGCATAGCATTTTTAATTTCCTTGTTCGAGATAGGTCGGATCATATGGTTGGCTTCCGATAGAGAGAAATTCCTTGTAAAAAGATATTCGGACATAATCGGAATAGAGGATGCATCCCGCATACTAAGAAAACCTTTAATGTAGTCCACAAAAACATTAGGGACATCATCCCCATAAACATAGTCACCCCGGCTAGAATAGACGGATTGAATGAAATTAGAATGATGTCGCTCTTTAATCACCTTATGGAAGAATTTAGTATTCATATGTCCCTCATTCAACCATTTGACTTTGGCTCTCTGTTTGGCGGCACACTCCTTATCCCATCAAGCCTTGTGATAAGCAATATGAAGGTGCCCAAGTTCATGTCCCAAATCCGTATTAGAGGGATCATTGTCCACTTCCAACTGGATCCGATCTAGCTCAGTTTTCAAAAATGACACCCGTGCCCCAAGGTTGCCATAGGAATTCCGGAACTTTCATAGAGGAGTCTTGAGAGCCTTCAGGTGAGAAGTCACCCGAAACATAAAGGTCCCCTCTACATGCTTAGACCATTCATCCTTTACAACTTGCAAAAAAGATGGGTGCTCCACCAAGAAATTATCAAATTTGAAGCCATAACTCATTTTTCGAGTTCCACCTTTGAAGGACAAAACTACAAGAGAATGATCTGAACCCCAGAAGGAAAGAATTGAACATTAGCATCATGGAATTTAGAAGTAAATTCAGAATTAGCCATAACCCTGTCTAGTTTGCATCTGATTCCCCCCTTTTCATTCGGCTTTTAGTTCCATGAGAACTGGACACCTGTGTAATGCAGATCAAAGACTTCTATATCCTCCATAAAAGAAAAAAATTTTGACATATCCATATTACGGCGGGGGACCCGAGGTAGAATGTGTCTTAAATGTCCTTAATGGGTCCATGTACACTTATTGGGTATATTGGGCCAATTTAGTTATAATCGAGTCATTTGGATGAAAGCGACAATAAATGGATCATAATTAATCAGATTAGACCCTACTAGGTTAACAGGCCAATTTATCCATAAAGATTCTAATTGGCTCAAAATGACACTGATTCGGTCATTTTTTGTTTGATTAGACCTTAATGGGTATGATGTGCTAAATTCGTCAGAATTAGTCTAATCAGATATTAATCGGAGTGATTGAGGGTCCATTTGGTGTTAGTGCATATAATCGGCCTATTTCTCCTTAAGAAGTTCAATTGGGTCAGCATGACTCAAACTAGGTCACAATTAGTCTTTTTAAACCCTAATGGGTTTAACGGGCCAAATTATCGATACGGAGTCTAATTGGGTCAAAATGACACTAAATGGGCCATATGTGGTTTGTTCAGGCCTTAATGGTTATCATGGGCTTATTTTTCCTATTCGAGTCTAGTTGAGCCATAATGGGACTAAATGGTTCAAAATTTTATATCATCAGACGTTAGTGGGAGCAATTGAGGCGGAATGGGTCTTAACGGTCCTTAGTGGGTCCAAATGGTGGTAGTGGATATAATGGGTCTAATTCTCGTTAAAAAGTTCAATTGAGTCAAAATGACACCAACTAGGTCATAAATAGTCTCATTAAACCCTGATGGGTTTAATGGGACCCTTTTGTCGTAACGAGTCAAATTGGGTCAAAATGACACTAAATGGGTCATAGTTAGTCTAACTAGTTGTTAATACGACTAGTTGTGGTAGAGTTTGTCTAAAATGTCCTTAATGGGTCCATGTACACTTGTTGGGCATATTGGGTGTATTTAGTTATAATCGAGTCATTTGGATGAAAACGAGAATCAATGGATCATAATTAATCTGATTATACACTAATTGGGTCAGTTTTAGTTTGATTAGACCTTAATGGGTATGATTTACTAAATTCGCAAGAATTAGTCTAATCAGACATTAATTGGAGGGATTGAGGGTCCATGTGGTGTTAGTGGATATAATTGGCGTATTTCTCCTTAAGAAGTCCAATTGGGTCAACATGACTCAAACTACGTTATAACTAGACTTTTTAGACCCTAATGGGTTTAATGAGCCCAATTCTCCATACGGAGTCTAATTGGGTCAAAATGACACGAAATGGATCATATTTGGTTTGTTCAGGCCTTAATGGTTAGCAGGGGCTTATTTCACATACTCAAGTCTAATTGAGCCATAACGGGACTTAATGGTTCAAAATTAGTATAATCAGACGTTAATGGGAGTAATTGACGCGGAATGGGTCTTAACGATCCTTAGTAGGTCCAAATGGTGGTAGTGGATATAATGGTCCTAATTCTCGTTAAAAAGTCCRATTGAGTCAAAATGACACCAATTAGGTCATAAATAGTGTCATTAGACCCTGATGGGTTTAATGGTCCCCTTTCTTTGTAACGAGTTAGTCTAACTAGTTGTTAATACGACTAGTTGAGGTAGAATGTATCTTAAATGTCCTAAATGGGTCCATGTACACTTATTGGGTATATTAGGCCTATTTAGTTATAATAGAGTCATTTGGATGAAAACGACAATAAATGGAACATAATTTATTTGATTAGACCCTATTAGGTTCATAGGTCCATTTATCCATAAGGATTCTAATTAGCTCAAAATGACACTAATTGGGTCATTTTTAGTTTGATAAGACCTTATTGTGTATGATGTGCTAAATTCGTCATAATTAGTCTAATCAGACATTAATCGGAGTGATTGAGGGTTCATTTGGTGTTAATGGATATAATTTGCCTATTTTCTTCTTAAGAAGTCCAATTGGGTCAACATGACTCAAACTAGGTCATAATTAGTCTTTTTAAACCCTAATGGGTTTAATGGGCCAAATTCTTCATACAGAGTCTAATTGGGTCAAAACGACACTAAATGGGCCATATTTGGTTTGTTTAGACCTTAATGTTTATCGTAGGCTTATTTCTCCTATTCGAGTCTAATTGAGCCATAACGGGATTAAATGGTTCAAAATTAGTATAATCAGACGTTAATGGGAGTAATTGACGCAGAATGGGTATTAACGGTCCTTAGTGTGTCCAAATGGTGGTACTGGATATAATGGGCCTAATTCTCGTTAAAAAGTCCAATTGAGGCAAAATGACACTCTGGTCCAAAGCAAATACTTGGTATTTTTCACCAAGTATTCCCCTCCAAACCAGAGCCTCTGGTTGTATAGATCAGAGCCTCTGGATTCCAATTCTTTGAGACCAGAGCCTCTTTGGTCTCTAACTTGGACTTCCTTTGTCATTCATGCTTGTAACAACGTCATTTTTCATCACCCTTTGGAACCAGAGACTTCTAGTCCAAAGCCAATACTTTGTGAACTTTTTCACTAAGTATTCTTCTCTCAACTAGAGCCTCTGGTTCTAAAGACCAGAGCCTCTGGATTCTAAAGACCAGAGCCTCTGGATTCAAAGCCTTTGGAACCAGAGCCCTCGGGTCTCAAAGGCACATCCATTTTACACCCACATACATGCACTTAACCAATTTTTCATATCTATTTTCATCGCCCTTGCAACTAGAGCCTCTGGATTTGTTGTCTTTGGAACCAAAGTCCTCTGGTCTCAAAGACCCACTCTTTTTCATGTCCATTCTCATACTTAGCCACATTTCATATCATTTTCATCATCTTTCATAACTAGAGCCTCTGGTCATCAAAATCAACCTCACTATTGGTTCTAGGGGGAGTTTTAAAACTCAATCTACATCCCCATGCATCATTTGAGGGGGAGCTTTTCATTCATCATAAAGAGCTCTCATTGCATAAATATGCATTTTCCATCCTAGAGTCTCTGGTTCTACTATCCAGAGACTCTGGACACCAAAATGCTAGATAAATGATGAATAAAACATGTGTACGCAACCAGAGGCCTCTGTCCAACATCATGGGTTGTCCATGATTAACCAGAGCCTCTGGTTTGTCTATCCAAGGCTCATTATTCATACAACCCAACAATTCATCGATGAGTCATGACCAACCAGAGCACCTCTGGTTCCATGACAAAATAATTTTCATCCAAAAACCCTTCTTAATTGAAAACTTTTTAATGATTATACAACATTGCAGCTTTTGTGACTAAAAACTATACAACATGGGTTTTTAGAAGATCAAAACTTCGTAATTAGTATTTATCTTACAATTAGATGGTATTTTTAAATACAAATTTTTTTTGGATTGATATTTCAAGAGAGATTATTTGGAATAATTATTTAAACGTCATCTTACACAAAAGCCTGCCATATTTACAGCCTGTTCCCCATTAAACCTCTTCAAATTACCCATCCATTATCCCCATATTGACACGTGTCCTCCAACATTAATGGCATGACACTATCAAAACGGCACACGATCCCCCACGATATCACCTTTTTGCCAAACGTCTCCCACCACCATCATTATTCTTTTAATATTCTTTATCTCAAACGCCCTTCCCCATTCTCCACCTATATATACTCATCTTTCCCACTCATTTCATCTTTACGCTTTCTAAACCTACAACATACTTAAGACGAACAACAAATAGCAAAAACCTGCAACTTCAAACAGCAATGGCTTCCTCCGCCTCACATGAATCGAACAACAACGATAGCCACATGCAATCAACCGGCACAGACAGCCGTGCACTAGTTTTCCTCCCTGTCAAGCCCAACAATCACGTGATTGACTTATGCACCAACCTGTTTGAAGACAGGTTTGCCATTATGATCAAGTTTTTCCAAAACTGCATCCTCCAACCAGCCTTGACACTAACAGACAATGGCGTACCTCTCAAGTACGTCGAGCAATATTGGCAAACCTGTGAATTCTACCCCCAAAGTCGTGGAATCATGGGGGACATAGACGCCCCAAACGATATGGTTTGCTCCGTCAAGATCTCCCGAGCAAAGGTCTCTAAATTCCTTTTCATCACTAGTCGCCAAGAACTCGACATTGACCACTACGCCGAGCCACCCACAAGTTCTGAGATCCTTCGCTTCGTTAGAATGCTAGGTTACAATCGTGACCTACGCAA